TATCAAGGCTGCACAAACATTTTCCCCAAAATAAAAATCTATCTGAGGGCTGCGGCCAAATGCAATAATATAATTCATGAAATACAAATACTTCGGAGTGTGACATGATTTATTTGTTTATAAACTAATACCTGGAGTGTGACATGATTTGTTTGTGTACAAACTAATACAGTATCAGAATTTTATATTTTTATACTTCTCATTCAACCACAGTTAAATTCACTCTATCTTGGAGGCACAGTTTATATGGATAGAATTGATTTTTTACAATAACAAGCTGGAATGAAAACAAGCAAAAATGAAATAAAAGTAACGACTTTCTACTTCTTGCGTTTCTTTAAAATTGTAAGAAGTAAAACGAACAGATAATTGTGTGAAAATTTCAAAAGTAGGCTGAAAAATAATTACTCAAGTAAAGTACATATACAAAAAAATTCTACTTAAGTACAGTAACAAAGTATTTCTACTTAGTTACTTTGCAATTCTGAATTTAAATGTATTTTCTTTATACAGGTATAAATAAATCCTGTTTCCTGTTTTTATTGCCTGGGAGATGGATCACATTTATTTTGATATTTTTTGTAGGTGCGCGGGTTAGCAAGCTTTGGTTTGGAGCTGGACTTCATGGTGGAAGAGTACGCTGGCAGCAAGGGCAGGTTTCCTCCTGTGAAGAGAAGAAACAAGACATCTCTGTACGTTGCTACGATAGAGAAGGCCCACAGCCTTGTCAACTCTCTGATAGAGACCGGCAGGCTGGACAACATGGGGCTGCTGGTGGTTGATGAGGTAGAAACTCCTCTCAGTTTGGATCCTGTTGGAAATGAAGTAAACACAGAAATATGTTTAAAGGGATCCCCGATTAGTTGTAACAGACTTTATATGATAAACATATACTTTAACTGTGAAATAAAGACTGAAAAAATACTGTAGGATGTTCAGTTTTTATAATTTTTAAACTAAAAGTTTAAAAATATATTACACGGACGAGGCCATTTTATTTACACGCAAAGCATTCTAGGAAATTGATGACATCAACTAGGTCCGGCACGAGGCTGCTAGCGAGCTATATCCACTCTGAAGGTTGATCTTGGACAATATCTGATGATCGACTCTTTTAAATGAAACCAGAGAGCGTTGACAGAGAGGAGAAGGTAGAAATGACTCAGCCT